CAAACCTCTTACGTCTATATAAAATATGACACACAAACTTAGTAAATTAAAACCATAAGAAAAATGGCAAAAATCTCGCTATCTACATTCATATTCTCCATCCTTGTCCTCATTTCCACCGCAAGAGCCGCCACATTCGAGATCCTGAACCAATGTAGTTACACCGTATGGGCGGCCGCTAGCCCCGGAGGTGGCCGGCGTCTAAACTCCGGCCAATCATGGACGCTAAATGTCCCGGCTGGCACGGCTATGGCACGGATTTGGGGTCGGACCAACTGTAACTTTGACTCCTCGGGCCGTGGCCGATGCGAAACGGGTGACTGCACTGGTGGACTTCAGTGTACCGGTTGGGGCCAGCCACCGAACACGTTGGCTGAGTATGCTTTGAACCAATTCAACAACTTAGACTTCTACGACATTTCACTTGTCGATGGATTTAACATCCCTATGGAGTTTAGGTAAGAATATTACCATAATATTTTCACAATTTTATCAAGTTATCTTCCTCAGCGAAGATGGTATAAATTCGAATTTTGCCCTACAAAATATTCATAAAAAAAAAAAAAATTCTTGAACAACTTTTTTTACATCATTTTCTTGGCTCTTGGTAACACTGAAAGTAATAAAAACTTATGGTCCCTGGTGAAAAAGATTAAACCAAGAGAAAGTCTACATAATTTAAAACGTTTTCGCCTTTAATTTAAATCGATAAAGAAATGTTTTTTTTGTTCTAATTGGCATACTATTTTCAGCCCAACAAAATCGAGCTGCCACCGGATCCTATGTACGGCGGACATAAACGGACAGTGTCCAAACGTGTTGAGAGCGCCTGGAGGTTGCAACAATCCGTGCACGGTTTTTAAAACGAACGAGTACTGTTGTACGAACGGGCAAGGAACATGTAGGGACACAGAATACTCAAGATTCTTCAAACAGAGATGTCCGGACGCATATAGTTATCCACAAGACGACCCGACCAGCACTTTCACTTGCACTTCCACTGACTACAGGGTCGTGTTTTGTCCAAGGGCTAGGCTCGTTACTACTGAAAGTGAGATCCACCAGCTCCCGATCCAGATGGTCACCGAGGAGCATTAATAAACGGGCTCGTCTCTATTGTATGTGTGTGTGTGAATGTGTACGTAGATATAGACGTACGTGACTGTCACACTTGATGAATAATAATGAAAGGCAATAATGATTAAGTTGGTCGACCGACGTATAAGTTGGATTTTAAATATTTAAAACCAAATAATAGAGTTTTGGGTTTTTTGCATAGATAGATCACTAAGTAATACATCACTACTTTTCAAGTCAATACGATATAAACTTATAATGCATGAAGTTGTTGAATAGATTGACTGATTATAGATCATTACGTGATTAAATGTCTGATTACGTGCAAGAAAATCATGTAGACTTCATCGTTATCTCTGTAGATTTGTAGACTTTTAGACGGAGTTGAGTTTAAGATTCTAGACTCAAATCTTTTACTATGATTCTTGGAAATAGAGCAGAATACAGTAAAGTGAAGGGAGATCTGCTAGTATTTAGATCTGTGATATTACATAGATTGTCCGCTAAAAAACGGAGTTAAGTTGTAGGAGGAAACAACTAGTCCCAAACACACTCGAGAATTCATCAGCTTATTACAACAGTATTGGTATACAATACTATGAGCTTTTTATTTGACTACTAATGCCTCTTACTTTGCTTAAGCAGTAACACCCAACAGTTTCTTCAGGTCCTTCTGCAATTGCGGATTAACAATGAACAACAACGATTAGAGAAAACTTTGCAACTCTAAATCAAACAAGTATTGATAATAAGTGAGACGTTTACCTCAATGCTGAGAGGAGAAGTAGTTGGAGCGTAACGGTCAACGACATTACCATCTTTGTCAATCAAGAACTTGGCAAAGTTCCACTTGATGCCGTCTCCAAAAAGCCCGCCTTTGCTTTTTTTCAGAAACTTGTAGATTGGAGCAGCTTTATCTCCGTTCACATCAACCTGCATAACGATAAAGCAAAGCTAGAAAATCGAGCCCAAGAAGAGAAAACTAACATTCAGAAATGATCTAACAAAATGATTCACTAAACCTGTAACCATACTAGAAAAACTTGCATAATTCTTATATATATCACACGTCAACATTAGTGTTTCGCGGTTGGGAACAAGAAAAGTTATTTTACCTTGTCGAATATCGGGTACTCAGCCTTGAAACGGGTACAAGCAAACTGAACAATCTCTTCATTAGAACCAGGTTCTTGGTTACCAAACTGGTTACACGGGAATGCAAGAATCTCAAACCCTGAATACATTGTGAACATTATTAACAAACACAATCATAACTTAATATGGTTCTTTCAACAGCGAAAACTGAGCAAACAAAACAAATTATACCATGATCTTTGTACTTCTGATACAGCTGCGCAAGCTCAGTATAGTTCGAATTGGTCAAACCACTACCCGAACAACAACAACAAAAAACGAATCAAATACTAAAGATACTAGTCACTAAGCAAGTGTGTTACAGAAATTGAAACTTTGAAAATTTTACCACTGAGAAGCAACGTTCACGATCAAGAGAACTTTCCCTTTGTAAGTGCTTAGATCAACATCATTTCCCTTCGCATCCTGCAAAAAAAATTCAGAAACCCAACATCATTTTTTTTTTTTCAATTTAGACTTAAATCGAATCTCAAATCGCATGATCAAAAACAGAATTTTTCCGATATGATCAAAGAAATACAAAATTTGAATTCAGCGAATCAAGACCTAATCGATTACAACCTCTAAATCTATAGATATATACAAAAGCCCAGAAATCGAGCTGATAAATTACAGAATTGAGAAACACGAAATCGAACCTTGACGGTGAAATCGTAGATGGATTTGGGTTCGGAAGTAGCAGCCATGGAATGTTCAGACCTAGAAATTTTAGCTCCCGTTGTCGATAATAGAAGTGAACGAGTCCGATGAGAATTGAAAAAGGGTTTCACAGAATCGAATTGCTTAGATGAAAACAGAGAAATC